AAGTATATATGTGTGAATTTTGAGACTTCTTGCTAGTACTTTTATTAGAAAAAAAAATGATAAATAATTTTTACTAAAATTTCGCTAATTGATGATATTTAAAAGCAATTCGCAAAATTTTGAGTTTTGAAATACTTAAATTTATATTTTTACAAAATAGATTTAATCTCTAAGTTTTTTTTAAAAAAAAATTTAATTGGTTTGGCTAAAAATTGACCGACTTTACTTTTTTTGGAAGTGGAGATTTGATTTTGCCGATCACTAGGTCCGATTCATTCGTGGATCGGCAATTAAGTATATTTTTAATTTGGCTATATTTATATAAATTTCTCCTAAAATTAAAATAAACTTAAAATTTTAGATGACAAATTAATTTGACTAAATCCATTTGGTCGTTACAATTGTGATATCAGTCAGTTAGATACTCAATATTTAGCTTGAATTTTACTTATTCCTATTATCCTATACATGATTGATTAACCAATATTTAAACTATCTTATACTATTTTTAAAAAAAATTAAAAAATAAACTATTGAATTATATATAAGGTGTGACATGTAAAATATAATGGAGATTACCTTTTTTAGATAAGTAATTAAAAGTCTAAAATCTTTAAATTCATAAAAGAGAAATATTTTTTTTGTTTTATAGGTTCAAATCAACTCATTTAAAAATTACTTAAATTTTTCTTTACTTGTAGATTCTGGTATTCTGGTATTGAGAAAAAAAAATCACAATTATTTTTTTCTATTTGCAAGTTCTGATATATAAAAAAAACTTATTCTTTTTTGCTTGTAGATGCCAGTATTGAGAAGAAAATACATTTGCAATTACTGATATTGAGAAAAAAAACTAATTTTTCTCTTTTGTAAGTTCCGGTATTGAGAATCCTTATTTGTAGGTACTGATATGAAAAAGAATAATCTTTAATTTTTTTTCCATTTATAGGTTACGGTTAGAGGAAAAAAAAATTAAATTATTTACTCAATTCTAGGTTTTGGTATGGAGAAAAAAAAAAATATTAACCATTTTGGCGTACTGGTATTAAGATAAAAAATTCTCTTTTTTTCTTGTAGTTGTTTCCAAACTTGCATTCCGATCTGATAAAAAAAATTTTTTGGGATTTTTTTTTGTGATTTTCGGTATACCAATTTTAAGAAAAAAAATCAATTTTTAAATGCCATTTGAGTATTTTTTCTTATTTATTTATGAAAAAAAGCTGTTTCGGTTATTTTTATTTATTCATGAAAAAATGCGTACAGCTAATAGTAAATTTTTTGGCCGCCACGGAATTATGATAATTTCAATTTCGGTCAGCATCAAAAAAAAGTAATACCTTTCCACCAGGAATTAACTATATAAGGAAAGATTTTCATGATTTTTTTTTCCTGATTGTACGCAAACTTGAACCTTACCTCTTTATGTATATTTCGGTGTCCTACTTCGACGCTTTTTTATTATTTATGAAAAATCCAGAATGTCATATTTTTATTTTTTTGAGAGAAATGCTGGAATGGCATTTTAACCCCTCTTAAACCAGTAAAAACTAGATAAGTTGCCGTAGAAAAAACCATATATATTAACCTAATAATAATTAATCTACGTTGGCGCTATGAAGCTAGGCATTTTTTTATAAAAATAAAGTGAAAAAAAATGCCATTTCGGATTTCTCTCGTAAGAAAATAAAGTGGGTGAATTATAGAAATGGTTTTAAAAGATATGTATATAGATTTTAAATAGTTTCGTTATAATTACTACCTCACCGACGAATTATTATTTTTTTATTCTCATTTTCAATTTTAATTTGTTTATAATAATTACTATATGTATCCTAACTTTTATCTGTTAAATGAAAATAAAAATAAAGAATAAGGGTGATACAAATTTTCCCAACATATACAGTTGTTTTACTTTGAAGAAGTTCTACCGAAATACAGTATTACTTAGATACTGTAATTAGATAATGAATCGGAAAAACGATTTCATTATCTCACGGTTTTAGTAAATATTACCAGATAATCGCTTTTTCAAATTAATACGGATAATCAGTGTATTACCCGATAATCAGATTAAAAGCGATTTATTTATTTTAATTATGTTTATTGTTTTTTCTTAATTTAAAATGCAACAGTTAATTAAATTAGAAATCAGAAATCAAAGTACAGTAAAGCCATAATTAGTTATTATTGTATGACTAACTTCTTCTAGAATTTCTTTCTGGTTGTTCTCTATACGTCATACATAACACTAGTGATACATCAGATATTGGTGAAACAGACTCGGAATTTCCGAAGTTAAACAAATGAATTCTATTTAGGAAAACCTTGAAAGATTAAAATTAGATATATATATACTTCTAACGTTTGAAAAAAAATAATAAATTTGAAAAATTTAATTTGCATAATGTTGGCTATTCGAAATTATTTAGTTAACGCCACGGTCAAAAAAGCATATGTATTAACAAATAAAAATATTCGTGAAAATATAGATGAATATTATGAATCATTGCAACAAAGTATTCATGCTGATAAGTCACTTACAAATGATGAAAAGATCAAAGCAGAAAAAATTCTAATAAAAACTATGATTCTGATAAAATTAATTATAATAATGGGAAAAAAAGAATTTGTGAATATTGTATAAAAGAATGTTTAGCAAAATTCTTCTGTGAGAATTGTATCCGAAATTATTTAAAAAATAATTTTATAAATTGGACATCTGGAAATGATAATATGGACAGCTTAATTCGGAAATGTCAAATGAAATCACGTTCTCCAGATAAGATAATTGAATGGATCCCATATAATAATTTACAAAATATTGAATATCTAACTTCTGGTGGATTCTCCGAAATTTATATTGCAGATTGGATTGGTGGAGGTTATAATAATTGGGATGGTGAAAAGCAACAATTAACAAGAAATGGTACTATAAAAGTAATACTTAAAATTTTAGAAAATATCAAAAATAAAAGTTGGTTTTATGAGGTTTGTAATATAAAATTTATGTATATTATAAAAAAATATATAAATTATAAATGATAATATGGTTTAAAATAATCTTTTATAGATAAAATCTCATCTATCCATAGCTAATAAGTCAACATTTATAGTACAATGTCATGGTATAACTCAAGACCCATCAAATGGAAATTTTATCCTTGTAATAAAAAAATTAGACACAGATTTAAGAAAATATTTACAAGCTAATCATATTAAGCTTACATGGAAAGAAAGAACAAAAATTGCTTATAATATAATTGATGCACTTCATAGAATTCAAAATGAAAATGAAATTCATAGGGATTTGCATTCGGGAAACGTATTATATTATCAACGTACAAATTCTTGGTTTATTAGTGATTTTGGACTTTGTGGACCTGTTGATAAACAATTAGGAAATATATACGGAAATCTTCCTTATATAGCACCAGAAATTTTTGAAGGAAAAGGATATGATTTTTCATCTGATATTTATAGTATTGGTATGCTTATGTGGGAAATCTCGTCTGGAGAACCACCTTTTATTGAAGAACGCGATAAGTATGGTTTTGTAATGAAAATAATAGCCGGATTTAGACCAGAAGTATTACCAGGAACTCCTTTGGAATATAGAGAATTAATGGAACAATGTTGGGATGCTGATTTAACAAAAAGACCTGATATTAATACTCTATTTAATAAAATAAAACATATTTACAAATCATATTTTCAAAATGAAAATGATGTTGAACAACAAACAAATTATGTCCCAACTATCAACAACTCTCAGTTGTGTACAAGTTCTAGTGTGAGCCATAGTTTCAGTAATTCCATTTATAGAAATTCTAGTAACGAAGTTTATAATTTAAGAGATTTACTGAGCAAACAAAATTTAACAAAAGGTAAATATTAATTTTTAGAAATTACGATTAATTTTAAAATTCTAGTAATTATTTTAATCTTTTTTTTAAATTAATACTTAACAAACTTAATATATGTGTATAATAATAAAATTGTTTCTTATAGATTATTATAGTATACAATTTGACTACGATTTACAGGATGGTTCGATTACTTGGTAAGAATAATAATCGAATGCATATTAATTTGGAATTTCTTATTATATTATTTTAATATCTATCCCTTAAACTGTAGGGGTTAAAATTAATTTTAAAAATTTTTGAATTTTTAAAATATCTTAAGATCTAGTGATCATAGAAAGATGAAATTATATTTGTTAGATTCCTCTTATTAAGGCGCATTTAATGGTAATAAAATCATAACTCTAAAATTGATAGATAAATGTTATATTAATTTATAAATTTTTAGATTTTATAAGTTATCCTGTCACATAATATTTGTAGAAGGACAATTTTTATTTTTATTAGATTCTTCTTATTGTGACGCATCAAATGATGGTAAATTTATATTTCTAGGGTTAATAGATAAAAAGATATTTCAATTTAAAAAATTTAGCTACTATTTGTTATAATTTGTCGATCATTTACTTTTGAAAAATCATTATCCAAATTGAACTTTTTTTTCGATTTTTACTTAGAAAATACTATAGAATTTATTATAAAAATATTGGTTTATATAATAAAATATTTTAAGGTATTTAAAAGTGTCTTTAATTAAAAAACAAAATTGCAGGCAAATTTGGCTGCAAAACAGTTTAAGGGATAACTTAATTTCAAAATGATAATTAGCAATAGGTAACAAATTTAACAAAAGAAATTAATTTAATGGTAATTATTATTAAATTGACGTTTTTCATTTCATAATTTTTAAAACGATATATAATAATAAATTCTAATAACCTAATTGATAATTTATATCTATACTCAAACCCAATTATAATTTTAATTTCAACAATTATTTTTTATATAAAGGTGAAATATATAATCAAAATCTTCATGAAGAATTGAAGAATAAGGTAAGATCTTATATTATTGTAATTTTTATAGTACGATTCTAAAGATCCTAACTACGTATTGAATTAAATTTATATAATATTATAATGAATCGTTTAGTTAATTTAACAATGGCAGTAATACTTGCAAATTTTCTCAATTTGTAATTTTAAATTAATTCATATTATTATTTTATTTATTATAAATGTATACATATATAAATAACTTTTCTTTAGCAAACTTCATAGCTTATCATTATATACCATAAATAAATATAAATTTACATATATTCTTCAATTCGTCTTATCGTTATAGTTTTTTTTTTTGCACTAAGATTACTAAGATTGTAAGTCGATTTATTTAAGTGATTAATAGTACAATATTATATATACAAAAATTACAAGATAAAAAGAACTATTGGTTCCCCTGACTAAGCCGTATTGATTAGTGTGTCAATCCGTTGATTAATCGGATAAACGGATTATCATATTAAAATTTTATAAAAATAAGTGTGGCCATAATTATCCAATTATGGATAAGTAAACGGATATTTGAGTCTGTAACGCCTAGTTCTTATTAACTTTAGTCAACCATTTACCAGTTTATACTGCGGGATAATCATCTAATATGATGATTTAAACTTATTTTGATAATGCAGATTTTTGGGTAAATCCAATATCCATTTATCCGATAACACACTACCCCTGATTGCCTGATCGTTATTATGGTTAGAGTAGTTTGAGTGGCTGTCGAGGTCATGTGCACGTTCCAATGGCCAATCAAAGAAAATTTTTGTTACTAATCCAGTTCCGGTTGTGATAGGAATTTTTTTGTGATGCTAAAGTTTTTATTGATTAACTAGATGCCCGTCTCCAGGATGCTAAAATAGTGACCCTTTAATTATTACTAGCATAGTAAATAACTCGCTCATACGAAACTTCTATGCAAATTACATTTATTTATAATTACATTTCTATCATCAAATGTTAACTGGAACAAAAAAAAATTAGGTTGGAGAAAAACTAAAAACCTTATTACTAAGGAATTTTCAAATCATTATGAAATTTCAAATTTACCAAAGAAATATCATGTTAAAACTAATTCACATGTTCATTTATGAAAAAAATTGCTCCAATAATTTGTTAGTAAGAATTTAATTTATCGAAATTTAGATTTATTATAGTAATTTTTCCTTTAAGTCAGAACTTTTTGTAACAATATTTAAAATCTATTTTCATATTCACACTAAATCTGCTACCTTTAATAAAACGTCGTATTCATGATCACATTAATATTATAAATTACTCATTGTACTAGTTAAATATAATTTATTTCTTTAAAAGAAATTTCAATTTACTTTGAGCATATTCATATCCTTGTTTAAAAGATTTTTTATACCAATAAATGGCTTGATTCATATCTTTTTTAATTCCATCTCCATTCTCATACATCAAAGCAAGTTTACATTGAGCAAATTTATTTTCCATATTTGCTGCCTTCTTATATAATTCTAAAGCTTTCTGCTTATTAATTTTAACCTCAATTCCATCTTTATAAAAATTTCCTAATTTAATCATTCCAGTTGAATTTCCTAAATCTGCTGCTTTTTGATATAATTCGAATGATTTTTGTTTATTAACTTCAGTTCCAATTCCATTGTAATAGCAAAATCCTAAATTAATCATTCCAGTTGAATTTCCTAAATCTGTCGCTTTTTGATATAATTCAAAAGCTTTTTTATAATCAGGATAAGTTCCAATTCCTTTGTGATAACAATATCCTAATGAATATATTCCACTAGGAAATTCTTTTTTTGCTAATTTTTCAGTTAATTTAAATACTTTTTCATGATTTTTATCAACCCCTCTTCCACATACATACATTATAGCAAGTTCACATTGAGCTGCATTATTTTCCAAATCTACTGCTTTTTGATATAATTCAAATGATTTTTGTATATTCGTATCCATTCCAATTCCGTTATAATTAAAATATCCGAGTAAATAAATAGAATTGGAATCATCCTGATTATTTAAAAGCCAACTAATGACTTCATTTAAATTTATCTTAAGATTATTAATATAATCAAGAATGTGTTGCTTTCTTACATTATAATCTTTTCCTTCATTTATTTCTTTAAAATATAAATTTACCAAATCATCAATTACAATATTTAAGTCTTCTTCAAAAATATTTTCGTGAATATCTTGAATTGTTGATTTTATTTCTTTTATATTTATTTTATCAAAATTTTGAATAATTTGAGATAATTCTCCATACATTTGATGTTTATTATCTTTTTGATAATGTCCGCTAATTTCAGCGCTATCATTCATTTTGAAGAATAATAAAAAAATTTTTTATTTCACACATATTTATTTATTTATTGGTAGTACTGCAGATCAAGTTTACTGCACACCTAGCAAATTATACTTCTCTGATCGTCATCAGTTGAAGTGTAACAAAGGACGATTACAAAGATTTCTAGATACTCGCCTGCACTACCCGTTAGATAACTGTGATCGATGCTGATTGGTTTCTGCTGTCACATAATGATGTCAATGTGTATCATATTATCAATTTCATTACGTAGTCAATAAATAATTACCGTAAATTAAAAAACATTGACTATTATTTTGGTTTATATATAATAGTTATTGCGTCAGCAGTAGTATTAAAAGGTATAACTAAACCGTAAAACTTATTAAATAAGGATTAATTTGTAGTCATATTTAACTGATAAAAAAAAATATCAATTATTTAACTATTAACAAAAAATATCAGTCCGTCAAAATCAGAATGATCCTAATAAACTGACCAATAACGTATAAATATTAAGTTAGTGAAAATTATAACATATTAAATTTTTATTCCTAAAGTAAATCATTGGATGATTCTGGTAGTGATGGGTTTTTGGATGTTGTAGTTGTAGATGGTTTGGTTATATTTTATTTTATTTTTCTCTTTCACAGAATGAAATCAAAAGCCTCATCTATTGGTGATTTTGCAATGGAGTGGAATTAAAAGTCACGCAAGAACTATAGAAATGGATAATTTTCATAGTTTAATATACGAATATTTTTCAACTCTATATAATACATATTGCATACTTCTTCTCATAAATATGTATTTATGTATGACACAATAAAAATACTAAACCATGGTTAATAAAAATAGAAATACTATAATGCGGGAATTATTGTCAGGCCCATAATTTGGAAATGATATCAAACTAGATGGATTATAATGAAATTTTTGTGAAATGACACTTTTTATTAAAAGAAGATGGCGTTGAATTTCAATAAATATATATTATAAAAAACAGTATTGAATTCTACAATTGTAACAATAGTATACTTTTAGATTATAAAAATTCGCCATAATAAATAATATTACGCCGCATCAGTATAGCACAATTTCATGCAATAAGATTTATTCCACATGGAATTTCTCTTTCTGCTGATTTTTCAAATAGTTCAAAAGCTACAATTCAAATACATACAAATAAGTAATATCATATTAAAATATACTACACAGTATTTCCCTCATAAAAAATTTATATCATATTCACGGAGTTTTACAGAAATTACGGATAAAATTTTTACAGGGTCCATCATTGGTATACTGTAATTTAGATAAATTAAATATTGTATATACAGTATACAATTTTAACAACTTGTTAAAGATTACAAATATTTAATACAAACGAATACTTAATATCTTAATATCTTTAATGGTATATTTGTATGTCCATATTATGGTAAATTTACAAATTAAATTATTTAGATACAGTATTTGATGATAAAAAGTTAAAAATTTCAATAATAATAAAAGATAAATACTTTTTTGATAATTAACATCAATTCCAATTCCATGATAACAACGATTACCTAATTATTTATTCCTTTCCTAAACGTATGTTCTATATGAATTTCTAAATTTGCTGACTTTTGATATAATTCAAATACCTTTTGTGAATCAATGACAGTTCCCATTCCACTTTTATAATAACTTCCTAACTGATTGGCCCACCTGGATGTTCTTTCAGATAATTTAAAATTTTATCATAATTTTACTTCCATCCATATACAAAATATCATTAAACTACTTTGTTTTTTAATTCTAGTACTTCTTTCTGAAATACTGAGTCAATTGCAATTTATTTGTTGACAATCACTCCAATTCCATGAAAATTAAAATATCTAATTAAATAGATAGAATTTGAATCATTCTGATTATTTATAAGCCATTGATGACGAATTTTCTATAAAGTTATCTATATAAATCAAGAACAATTTTTATCTTTTCCTTCATTTATTTCAAATATCAATAAGAAAATTGCTAAAGATAAAATAAAGATTAATGAGATAAGTCTAAATTAAAAAATTTTATGTGATATTTTCGATATTTATCATATTCATGATAATTATTTAATATATTTTTTAATCATTGCATGATTTTTAAAAATAAACTTGTTATTTTGCTATGCTAAATAATATTTTCCAATATAAACATATAAATAGACCAAATTCAATCTTACCCCAAGATAGGACACATTCAACTGAAGATAGTTTGAATATTACTGCTGAGATTGGGACATTTGGTTGTACTTCAACTTGATTATTCTAAATTAGCATAGATAAATTGGACCCAAGTTGGTTTTAACATGTTAATTTTGGCAAATTTAAATTTAATGATCATTATTACAACAATATTTAAATATTAAAAGATAAATTATTCAATTACAAACTGATTTTATTTATGTAAAAATGTTTACAAATACTCTATAATCAGTGTTGAATAAAAAAAAACTATTTATAAAGAAATAAAATATTTGCCCAATACAAACTGATTAAACTGATTTCACCTAGTTTGCAAATACCTCATAATCAGTGTTTAACAAAAAACTACCAAAAAAGAAAAAAAATTATGGTTTTACAATGATTTTCTTTATTCCCTTTGATTAATTATTTTCATTTTAAACTTACAACCTATTAATAAAAAACTAAATTTAAATATTTTTTAATTAAAAAAATAAATAAATAAATAAACACAACTAACTTACTTTGTGAAGTCAATAACTTCCATTGAATAAAGATTTTTTGTAAATGGATTAAGTAATCGAGATGTGTAATAAGCTTCTGGATGAGTAGTTGATTGATTACTTCCAATAGATAAAGGATTTGCTTTTCTATATTCTTCTGCTTTTTTAAATTGTTTTTCAACCTCCTTATCTTTAAAGACGACCTTAAAATCAGAATAAAATGAACTAATCAATTTTTCTAAGTCAATAGCACTTGGTCTATTATTTGGATTTGAATCCCAACACTTCTTCATTATATCAATGTAAATTTTTGGTACTTCTGACTCGTTAATTTCAGGTCTAATTCCATTACATATATTTAATACTAAAAACTCATCATGTGCACAATTGGCAAAAGGCTGTTTTCCAGTTGCTATAAAATACATAACCATGCCAAGGCTGTATATATCTGCTGCTTGAGTATAAGATTTACTACTCTTTAATACTTCAGGGGCTACATAAGGTATAACTCCATAAATTTTGCTTTCATCTTTTATATTACTGACTTCTCCACATAATCCCATATCTGAAATAAATATTCTACTATATAAGAAGTTCATAGTTTCGTTTTCAACTAATAAATTTCCAATTAATAAATTTCCTACATGAAAATCACGATGAACCATTTGTTTTTGATGAATATTTTCAAGTCCTTTAATAATCTTCAATGTTATACGTAATTTAGATATCCAATCAAGTTTATTATAATTTTTATTTAACTGATAATAAAGACTTCCTCCATTTGCAAAACCTAGAACTATAATATAATCTTTTGTATCTGGATTTTGAGACAATCCATATATTCGGGTAATATTTTCATAGTTATTAAGAGAATATGCTCTAATCTATTAAAATGTGTAAAAATTTATTATTTTATATAAAATAAAATTTAATTATATGTTTATAATTTCTTACCTCATTTAAAAATTCATCAGTAATATTTTGTGATGAATTGAGCAAATATTTTAAAGCAAATTTTCTATTACCCTTCCTTCTTCTAAATTTTTCATGGTAAGATAATGGACCATCCTTCCATATTGCTGAATAAACTGTGGAAAATCCTCCCTTACCTATTTTTTCAATGTTATTAAACTGATTGTATGGTACCCACTCAAATATTGTATCAGAGTTATCATTAATTTTTAATTGCATCTCTTGAATAAGTTCATCAATTTTTTTATTTCCGCTGGTCCAATTTATAGAATTTTTCTTTAAATAATCTAATTGACATGATTTACACCAAGTATAATGCAAAATTTTACCACATTTTTCGCAATATATATTTCCAATAACCATAATATAATCTTTTGTATCTGGGCTTTGAGATATTCCATATATTATTTTATTATTATTATATTCTATTGAATATTCATTAGCCTATTATAAAAAATATTTTTATTAGAAAATAAAATAAAATAAATTTACAAAAGAACTGAATCTTATACCTCATTAAAAAATTCATCAACATTATCTTGCAAGTTGTAAAATTTTAAATTAATTTTTTGATTCTTATTTATTAAATGTCTTTGATATATTTTTTTATATTTATCATAATTTAACTGACCATTTTTCCATATTGCTGAACATATTGTAATAGAACCATCTTTGTTTATTTTTTTAATATTATTAAACTGTTCATATGGTATCCATTCAACTATTATATTACAATAAAAATTAACTTTTAATTGCATTCCTTGAATAAATTTGTCAATTTTTTCATTTTTGCTGGTCCAATTTGTAAAATTTTTCTTCAAATTGCTTATTTGACATGGTTCACACAATTTACAAAACGTATATGTATATTCCTTGCCACAATTTTCACAATATTTCTCTTGAATAACAATAATATAATTTTTTGTATTTGGATTTTGTGATACTCCATATATTTCATCCTTGTATTCAGAGTTGTTGCCCTAATAAAATAAAAAAAATATTACCAAAATAATTAAAATGAAATAATTTAATAAAAAAAAGTTTTATACCTCGTTAAAAAATTCTTCAGTAATATTTAGTGAATTAAATAATTTTAAAGTAACTATTTCATTCTGATTTTTTAAATTTCTTTTATATATTCTTTCATTTTCATCATAATTCAACTGACCATTTTTCCATATTGCTGAATATATTGTAAATAAATCATTTTTACCTATTTCTTTAATATTATCAAACTGTTCATATGGTATCCATTCAACTATTATATTATAAGAACAATCAATCTTTGATTGCATTTCTTGAATAAATTTATCAATTTTTTCATTTTTGCTGGTCCAATTTGTAAAATTTTTCTTCAAATTGCTTATTTGACATGGTTTACACCATTTATAAAATGTATTTGTATATTCCTTACCACAATTTTCACAATATTCATCTTGAAGAAATATTATATAATCTTTTGTATCTGGATTTTGAGAAAATCCATATATATTATCAATCCTATATGGCTTTAAATATTCTTTATACTATTAAAATAAGAAAAAAACATTACTAAAAAGTAATATAATATAAAGGAAATTTATAAGAAACTTTACCTTATTTAAAAATTCAGTAATATCTTGTGTATTATAACATATTAAAGTAACTTTTTTATTTTGATTTATAAAATCTCTCTTATATATTTTTTTATTTATATCATATTTTAGTGGACCACTTTTCCATATTGCCGTACATATTGTGATAATACCATTTTTGCCTATTTCTTTAATATTGTCAAACTGTTCATATGATATCCATTCAAATATTGGATCATAGGATTTATTAACATGATTTAGTTGCCTATCTTGAATGAAATTATCAACTTTTTCATTTCCACTAGTCCAATTTATAAAATTTTTCTCGAAATAATCTATTTGACATGGTTTACACCATGTTTCACGCCAACCATGTATGGAATTCGTGTATTCTTCACCACATTTTTCGCAATATTCATCGTGAATAACTATTATATAATCTTTTGTATCTGGATTTTGTGATATTCCATATATCGGAAGAGCATTACTATTACGTCCCTTTATTTGAAATTAATTAGTTTAAAAAATAATATAAAAAAAATATTTATTTATATTAATTATCTTACCTTGACTAATAATTCGTTGGTAATATTTTGTGAATTATGTATATATTTTAAAGCAACTTGTTTTTTTCCTAACTTTCTTTTATATTCTTTTTTATAAAGACAATAATATAAAGGACCATCCTTCCATATTGTTGAATATATTGTACTAAAACCATCTTTTCTTATTTCTTTAATATTATCAAACTGGTCATATGGTATCCATTCAATTATTATATCTTTGTAATCATTAATTTTTAACTGAAATTCTTGAATAAAATTATCAACTATTTCATTTCCACTAGTCCAATTTATAAAACCTTTCTCTATATAATTTATTTGACATGATTCACACCATTTGTACTTCACATTTGTATATTTTTTACCACATTTTTCACAATGATCATCTTGAAAAACCATAAAATATTCTTTTGTATTTGGATTTTGAGATATTCCATATATTGGAAAATTATCAAGACTACTGGACCAAAAATATGATTTAACCTATTATAAACAATAAAAAAGTCATTACAATTAAATAAACATATACATATGGATTAAATAAAGTCATTTCGTACCTTATAATAAAATTCATTGGTAATAATTGTTAAATCATACAAACTGAAAATAAAAATTTTTTCATTCTTAGATTTTCTTACATATTCCTTTTTGTGATGACAATAATATAGTGGACCATCTTTCCATATTGCCAAATATAAAACATTGTTTATTTCTTTAATATCATTCAATTGATTGTATGGTATCCATTCAATTATTATATTATTTGGTTCACGAATATTTTGATTTTTTTCTTGAATTAAATTATCAATGATTTCATTTCCGCTTGTCCAATTTGTAAGGTTTTTTTCAAAATTATCTATTTGACATGGCTTACACCATCTATCTTCTACAAAAGTGTATCTGTCACCACATTTTTCACAATCTATATCAACTTGTGACATGTTTTTATTATTTCAAAAAAAAAGCGAAGATGAAACGATGAAACGGCTGAAACGCCCAAATTTCACGTCAATTTACACTACATGTTTATTTAGTTTGACAGCGACCATGCCGATCGTATGGACATGATGTCACAAGGGCGCAGTAAAATTGGCACAACAGTTAAAAATGACGAAAATCACTTAATAATCACGTGACATTGTCGATCAATGACGAACTATTTTTCTGAAATAATGAAATATAATCAATTTTTATTCTAAATAATTTTTTGAAAAACGGAATTGACCATTTGAAATTATTTTAAAGAGAGAAAATCTAATTTTAAAATATCCTAAATAAAATATTAGTGTACTGTTACATATCCAGATTTTCAGAAAATTCATTATATATATTTTTTTTTAAAGTTAAATATCCGTCATTTATTTTAACGAAAGTCTTAATTAGATAATTATGAAAATATATATAGCATGAATAACCCAAAAATTGACCCACGTCTATATAATTAAAAAAATGGTGTTTGTGTAACGGGTTACCACAAAATCCTGACAACCATAGTAAAATCGACAGTCTACAATCCCGACACCAAGTAAAAATCTTGACAATCAAAATCCCAAAGTTTTTTTTAAAATATAATTTTAAAAATTCAATTACGCAGTAACGGGTTAATTTATTGTAAATTTTATTAATACCAATGTAAATTGGTTACAAATTTTATTAATATTAATGCAACTTACCTAACGTTACTATATATTAATGAAATTTTATCTTAGTTAAAAGGATTATGAAACCTTAAATTGAGTGCTATTCTTTTGACAATATTTCTAATTTATTTTGAGCATGTTTAAAGTCTTGTTTAGCAGATTTTTTATACCAATATATCGCTTTATCCAAATCTTTTGTAATTCCATCTCCATTTTCATACATTAAAGCAAGATTATATTGAGCTACAGTATATCCCAAAACTGCTGCCTTTTGAAATAATTCAAATGCTTTTTGTTTATTAACTACAGTTCCAATACCATCTTTATAGCAATTTCCTAAGTTATACATCCCAATTGTATTCCCTAAAACTGTTGCTTGTTGATAAAATTTAAATGCTTTTTGTGTATTAGCATTAGTTCCAGATCCATTTATATAACAATTTCCTAACAAAAGTATTCCGCATGAATTTCCTAAATTTGCTGCTTTTTGATATAACTGAAATGCTTTTTGTGTGTTAGCATCAGTTCCAAACCCATTATCATAACAGTAACCTAATAAGGTCATACCACTTGAATATTCTTTTCTTGCTAATTTTTCAGATAATTTAAATGCTTTATCATGATTTCTACCAATATCTTTTCCAATAATGTACATATTGGCAAGATCAAATTGAGCTGCACTGTTTTCAAATTCGACTGCTTTTTTATATAATTCAAATGCTTTTTGTCTATTGAGATCCATACCAATTCCATAAAAATTAAAATATCCAAGACAATAAATAGAATTTGAATCATTTTGATTATTTAAAAGCCAGCAGAAAATTTCTTGCAAGTTTATCTTATTGCTATCAATATAATCAAGAATGTGTTGTCGTCTTTCATTTTTACTTTTTCCTTCATTTACTTCCTTAAAATAATTATTTACCAATTCGTCGATTACAATACTCAAGTCTTCTTCAAAAATATTTTCATGTATATTTTGAATTGTAGGTTCTAATTCTTTTTCATTTCTTATATTAAAATTCTGAATAATTCGAGATAATACTCCTTGTAGTACTTGCTGTTTATATGGCATTTTAAAATTTTAATTCGTTATACTGTTATTACTGTGAACAAGACAAAAAAAATTTTTTAATTTTTCACAACATATTTATTTATAGTAGTACTGCAGATCATTTGCCACAACTTATTGGAGCACGTGAAAAAAATAAGTTATTAGCTGTGCAAATCCCTATAAAAAATTTTATCCGTTATTTCTGTAAAAACTCCGTAAAAATAAGCCTTCACGGATCTATTCACGGAAAATGTAAATAATTCGATAAATTCCATTATTTTGAATAATGCACAGTAACTAATACTATTTTAATTGGTACATTTACATTCTTTCTATAAAGTTCTATTCTAAATATTATTGGTACATTAAATTATTACTACGTCACTATGTTACGTCACTACACTTGTTATTCGTTCTCGATCATTATGTGGGTAAATGTATATTTAAGTTATAGTCAAATTGTATTAAAATATATATATAAATTACACGAGTATATATAGAAGGGAGAACGAAGGAGATTCTTAGTTTTAGTTTTTTAGTCACTATTGGAATATTTCAAATCTCCGGCGGAGGGTAGCAATAATTTTCGTTTTATTTCTTTATTCATTGTTTATTAGAGTTTATTATACACATTTGTTGTTATATATTATTAATGTTTATTTTAAATAAAGTATACACCTTAAATTTGCATATATATTCGTTCTACACTTTGTTTTACATTCCAAATTATAAAATATTTTGTTGCTATCACGAAAATGCGAAGAAAAGTGGCGGTACTAAAATCTCATTTTCTAGTATAACTTGATTTAGCTGAAAGAATAAAATTAAAACTAAATAATAGGAAATTAAATATCGAGATATCTTTTTTTGTATAAAGTACCGAATGTTCTAAAGTTTTGGAGTCACATAATTTTCTATTTTGCCAATAATTAATTAAATCATGCCAATCCGTCAAATTTGTCGCACAATTACTGTTAAGTATACAATACTATATGACACGATGATGTACTTATTTTATAGTTTAAATTTTATTTTTTCTTTGATCAAATAAAGTCACGTCACTACATTTAATATATAATAAAAATAAAAAATTTATAAAGAAATTTACTGAAATAATATAATAAAAAAAGAATTTATGGAATAATATATAATTAAAAAGAAATACTAAAATTTTTTGAACAATATACTAGGTGATAAATAAATTTATTCCTTAAAATTTATTCATCATCGTCTTGATTAAGATCTATTTTTTTTTTAAAAAAAAAAATAATAATTATTATTAAATTAAATTAATAATTTCATATATTTAAAAACAGATGTCTTACCTAATTCATTTGATTCATAATCCAAACATTCAGAAACTATTAATAAAATGATAATAAATATTATTATAATAATCATGATAATCTTTAATACATAATGCAAATATATACTTACTTAGATTAGCTGATGATGATGAAATGGGTTCTATTAAGAGGAAAAAGAAACATAAATAAATTGATAGATTATATTCTCATATTAAATTTTTAATACAAATTTACCTTGAAACGAAGATAAATAATTGGTTGAATTAACTGGTTCTGGAAGATTTTCAAATTTTAAAAGTCTGCTAGTATAAATTGCTTGTGGGTGAATTTGAAGATTTTTAGATTTATTTTCATTTGTTCTGTTTTTTAATTTATTCACTTTAATTTTTTCACATTCTTTTATTTGATAACTAATTTCACTATTTTCATCATCCATATCATTTCCATATCTAAGAAATGTTTGGCATAATTCTTTAGCAGTTGGTCTATTTTCTGCTTTAGCATCCCAACATTTAATAATCAAATCTACAATTAATTTTGGTGTATCTTCAGAAATTTTTGGTCTAAATCCTTTACATATTTTAACACCCAAAAAATGATCATGAGGAATATCATTATAAGGAATTTCTTCTGACATAAGTTCATTCATTATTATTCCAAATGAGTAAATATCTGCTGCTTTAGTATATTTATATCCACGTAAAACTTCAGGTGCCATGTAAGGTATTACACCATAAATTCCTTTTCGCTCATTATCATTTACTGGTTGACACATTCCCAAATCACTAATTGATAGTAAATCATTATGATTATTATATAATATATTGCCCGAATGAAAATCTTTATGAATATTTCCAGCATCATGAATACCTGAAAGCCCATCTATAATACAAAATAAATATTTTATTTTAGTTTCAAGTTTTGAATCTTCCACTAAAATATTTCTCAAATTTCCTCCCTCAAAATATTGTAAAACCATCATATAATCTTTAGTATTTGGATCTTGAGTTATTCCAAAACACATAACAGTATTACTAGCATGAATATGACCCGAAATATAATAATTAATCTAAAATCATTAAAAAGAGAAATTTTGTTAATAAATTATGTAATAAAATACAAATATTAATAAGCAAAATTTATTTTAATTACCTCATTTAAAAAATCATTACTTATATTAGATGAATTATTTAAACTTTTCAATGCAACTTTTCTTGGATTTCTGTCCCATTTTTGATTCTCAATATCCCAATACCAAATATTTCCTTCAGGCCAGTCAGCCGAATAAATTTTACTAAAACCACCTCTGGTAAGATACGTAACATTGTCAAATTTTTCAAAAGGTATCCACTCAAGACATTTTACGTAAAAAAAAGCATTAAGTTGTGATTTTTGTATTAATTCATCAATATTTTTATTTCCACTAGTCCAATTTTTAAAATTTTCCTTAAATCTTTTAGCATTACAAGGTTGACACCAATGCCATCCTGTACCTGGTTCATTACATTCTCCACATACTCCATATACTTCTTTTCTTTTTTCTAAATCCATAATATTTACTTTTTTAAAAAAGGAAAAAGTTTCATCTGATTCAGTTGAAAAAATTGTAGCGTGGATCTATCAAAATAAATGATTAAAAAGTTTTAATAAATATCTATATTGTTTATTATATTATAATATTTTTACCTGATATTCATTATCATCATCTTCTTTCCACAAATTTTTGGCATTAGTTTTAGAATTATTTCTTACTGTAATCTCAGTTGTATCTAAATTTTGGTTTGAAATATCCATTTTATTAATATTTTCTAGGTAAAAATATATCACTTATAATTTAGCGAATATACTCAATTGTAAATTTTTAATATTATTAATAATGTAAAAAAAAATATTTTTTTTTAAAAAAAGTAATTCGAATTAAAAAAAAAAAAAAAAATATTACAACTGCCAAAAAAAAAAAAAAAAAAAATGGGCGTCAATTAATTGCAAATCCTCCCTAATTGAACCTTAATTTGGAATTTTGTGTGGTTCCTTTTTTAAGTTTCAGGAAAAATTTTTTTCTCTGGTTTATTTCATGTATAAATGGTAAAATTTTCCTTTTTAGATAGAACTTTTATCCTAATAAATTTAACTTTTTTTACTTTATTTACAAAAAATATATTTAATACTGTAACTGTTTTATTTCTCGTGTTTGGTAAAAAATTAATTATGGTTTTCAAAATTATACCGATCATGTGTCGATCATTTTTTAAAAATTTTAATTTGACATTTGACACATTTTAAGTTTTTATATGAAAAACCTGTTGTTATATCCTTAAAAAAAAAGTTGATATATAAACTTTTAAAGGTTCACAATAAAATCATAGCTGTATAATTATAAGTTATATATATATATATATACATTTTCTATTAGCGTTATATATTGTATGACATAAATTATTAGATTGAACAACCTTTTGGGAAACTATAAAAACCATGTCACCCCAGCCAAATGATCGGCATAGTTTCTAAGCTAAGTGGGCGTGCACTACATCCTAGCTTATAAACTGCCCATGGGCCAGATTAGCCCACGAGATCTGATTGGTCCAAACAACTTACCAACATTTAATTACAAATAAGGCAAATTTATAACTTTTGACCGGATATTTATTTATAAACTCATGGTCTAGGATTGCATTAATGTACATTTTGTACCACCTTGTAACTATAAAAAAGGCAAAATTTTTTCAAGGTTACACATTAATTTGGCCAGAATTAAGATAATTTCGCCCAGCAAAATTTGGCCGGAATTATAAAACGGACATAAATGTCCGTTTGCAAATTTGGCCAGAATTATAAAAACGGACATAATTTGGCCGGAATTGTAAAAACGGACATTAATGTCCGTTTTTGTAAATTTTGTCAGCATTATAAATGCAAATATTATAAATTGCATCAATTTATCATAATCCAGTGATCATAGAAAAAATAAATTATAACTTGTTAGCTTTGTCTCATCAAGACATGTTAAATTGTTAAATTGTGGTTTCTATCATCAATAGATGGAAAGTTATTGGCATTTGGAAATATTTAAGAATTAAAAAAAATTCTTTTCAAACAATGTAAATATCTTATTATTTATTAATCCTAAAGGTATAAAACTCCTACCATTTAATACATCTCAATACAATCCAACAAGCTGTGTATTATTTTTTTACAATTACTTGATGACAAGTTAATGCAATTTAACTTTTAGCAATTTGGTATATTTTAACCAAAAAAAAATTTTTTTATTGTAAATTTAAGTTATTTAACATTTAAAAAATGATTTTTTGTTTTTACTTTTTACTATTAAATACAAATTATTTCAAAAATGCAGAAAATTAAATCTTTTAATTATTATTTAAAAATTATGCTATTAAATAAAACATTAATTTTTTTGTTTTTTATTTACTTTTTTATTATATCTAAAAATTGTCAGAAATTTAAATCCTTCAATTATTAATACATTACATATTTATGGAAGTTAAATAAACATACTTATTTATTGTAATTTAGCAATTAACATTGATTAATTTTGATTTTATTAATTTTTTTTTTATTTGATGATTTTGATCCAAATTATTTCAAAAATTAATAGAAAATTAAATGATTTGGCTCTTTTAATTATTAATACATTACATATTTATGGAAGTTAAATAAATATACTTATTTATTAATCTATTTAATGTAATTTAGCAATTAACATTTTATTTTAATTTTATTTATTTTTTTATTGATCCAAATTATTTAAAAATTAATAGAAAATTAAATGATTTATTTGGCTCTTTTAATTATTAATATATTATATATTTATAGAAGTTAAATAAACATACTTATTTAATCTATTTAATGTAATTTAGCAATTAACATTGATTTTATTTTAATTTTATTTTATTTTTTTATTTGATCTAAATTATTTAAAATTTGATAGAAAATTAAAGGATTTGATTCTTAATTATTAGTACATTATATATTTATGGAAGTTAGATAAACATACCTATTTAATAATGGAATTTAATATTTAAAATTATTTTATTAATATAAAACTTAATTTTTGTTTTGTTTTTATTTACAGTATTTTTTTATTTTTTTATTTTTATTTTTTTTTTATTAGATACAAATTATTTTAAATATTGTTAGAAATTGGATCAACAAAATCATTTATTAAAAAAATTTGGATTTGCAAATATTGCAGTAAATGTTTATCAGTACATTTCGCAAATCCAAATTTTTTTTAATGAATGATTTTGTTGATCCAATTTCTAACAATATTTAAAATAATTTGTATCTAATAAAAAATAAATAAAAATAAAAAAATAAAAAAATACTGTAAATAAAAATAAAACAAAAATTAAGTTTTATATTAATAAAATAATTTTAAATATTAAATTCCATTATTAAATAGGTATGTTTATCTAACTTCCATAAATATATAATCCTTTAATTTTCTATCAAATTTTAAATAATTTAGATCAAATAAAAAAATAAAATAAAATTAAAATAAAATCAATGTTAATTGCTAAATTACATTAAATAGATTAAATAAGTATGTTTATTTAACTTCTATAAATATATAATATATTAATAATTAAAAGAGCCAAATAAATCATTTAATTTTCTATTAATTTTTAAATAATTTGGATCAATAAAAAAATAAATAAAATCAAAATAAAATGTTAATTGCTAAATTACATTAAATAGATTAATAAATAAGTATATTTATTTAACTTCCATAAATATGTAATGTATTAATAATTGAAGGATTTAAATTTCTGACAATTTTTAGATCTAATAAAAAAGTAAATAAAAAACAAAAAAATTAATGTTTTATTTAATAGCATAATTTTTAAATACCGTATAGCGCTGCATACAGTACCCCCCTCAAATAGTACCCCTCCTAAATAGTACCCGTGTATTATTCAAGTTTACATTCGGGTATTTCTGAATAGTACCCCGGTACTAATCAAAATCCGATTTTGAATAGTACCCGGTACTAATCAAATACCGGTATATAATTACTAATAAAAATTCTTCATACTAACTAGGAAAAGGAAACTGATCGCACATCATCACGTGCCAGATGTACAACAAACATTTGTGAAACCGATACGAATAGTATATAGTCCTTCGTTACACTTCGGACTAATAAAAAATGTTTACAAGCAAATTTTTATTCCATGTGTTTTAACCTTGATTTATAAATATACTGTATAGTTCAATGTATACAGTATATGTACACTTTCATATAATTAATTGTAATAAAAAAACAATTGCCGTAAAATGAAATTTTATTAACAAACCATCAATTAGCAATGGTTACACAATCAAAGCCACCCATTTTACTCATCCCATACATTAACGTAATTTGTTCCTTGTTCATCATAATAACCCGAATAGCCATCATCCTCCACCTCCTCATATTCACTCTCATCAGATTTATCCTCTTCATTTCTATGTTCCTCATCACTTTCATCATTTTCAGATTCCTCATCACTTTCATTATTTCCAAATTCTTCATCACTTCCGTCGGTTCCATGTTCCTCTTCACTTGTATCAGTTTCGTATTCCTCATCACTTGTATTTTCGTCCTCTTTATCTGATTGTGGTGCTACTTCATCATTAGGTTTGCTTGCTTGTTGTTCAAGACGATCATAATTAAAAATCCAGCCATCTTCAGTTCCATCACGATTGTTAGAAATGCCACAGCATTTAAAGGATCGCTGAATCAAATTAACATCAACAGCTTCCCACGAATCTTTGACCCAATGTGCTACAGTTTCATAAGTGGGTCTTTTGATGATGCCAGTTGGTGTTAAATCTTTTATAGTTTCTGCTATCCACTCATTGTATTTTCTTCGCATCTATAAGGTGAAAATAAAAATAAAATGTTTTTTAAAAAAAATAGAGTCGCCCTAGAAAATGGAGAGAAAATTAATAATTATTACCTTTGATTTAAATGATTTATTCACTGAAACATCCAAAGGTTGTAGGCGAGATGTCAACCCTCCAGGAATAACTGCAATATCAGTTTTTTTTTCGATTAAACTCCT